ATTATATTAATTAATATATTAAATTATATATTATATTAATTTATAATATTATTATAAATATTATATAAATATTAAATATAATTAAATATAAATTAAATATAATCAATATAAAAATCTTTAAATAAGAGAAAGCTAGTTACATAATTTATTGAGCCTACATTACAAACATTTTGTAATCTCCTTGATGTAATTCTAGCTAACAGCAATTACAGATAGAACTTAAAGTTAGCCTAGATAATGTTTTAGTGATTTTATTTCGCTTAACTTCGTTCCATTAGAAAAAAGCAATTTGGAAAAAGATTGTCTAGGTAAAACATATGGCAAATTGCGAATGATTAAACATTAATTAGAACTTCGTAGAATGTTAAGAAAGGAGTTAGTAAGGAAGTTTGTAGATTAAATGAGATTATCTCTCAGTACAGGAATTCATTGTAACTGTCACTGCTCTCTTCTTTGAAAATTCCTTCGTGAAGAAAAAAAAAATGAAGTAGGGATAAATGACGGAGAGGATATAATCAAGAAGTATATTGGGAAATTTCCCATTCTGACTTGTTCCAACTGATCAAATCTTAGTCTTGTAATAACTAAAAATTGACTGCCGGCGTTACCTAGAAAATCGAGGTATATGAATTGATGATAAAGCAAAAATTAATTACTTCCATACCGGACAAAAATAGACCAACTAAGGAAATAATCGTGACAATGAAGAGTAAAAATATCTTCTGATAAATTCGATTAACCATTCCAGAATGCGACGAAAAATCGACATAATATTTGGGATGCATATATGGAGTAATTAATTCTAGAGCAGATTATATTATTACTTATGGTTAAATTAAAATTCAAAAGAGAGTATTTAAGAAACAAACCCAAAATGGAAACAGACACTGTTGATCGACAGTTAAAATAATTAAAAGAATACATTAATAATCAAAGTGTTTATAATTATTACAAAAACTTGTATTTCTATGTTTGTGGTAAATCATTATATTTAACTATTATATTAAATTAAAATGTAATGGTTTAATCATTATATTACATTATAAAGATAGAATTTAAAGTATCAATCACATGATCAAGCGTATTAGACAAAATTGATATTAAAAGGGTTATATTTAATTTTTCTAACATAAAAGCAAAATAAATAAGGTTTGATGTATTGGAAAGATTACAATTAAACACTCGATCAACTAATTTTATATTTTGTATATAAGAGAATAATGATGCTATTTAATGAAAAGCTTCCGCATACTTTTAATCTCTAGTATTTTCAATAATTAAGCATATTCAGTATTAGATCAAAACGTAAATATATAACTACTGTATAGTAATGTTAAATAATAAGTAACCAATTAAATAAAGCAATTTTAGAATAGAATAACAAAAAACAGGATAATGCTAAGGATAGAATAGACAAATTATTTGCCTATCATTGCTCGATATTTAATATTTCCTATATTATATATAACATTTATTCAAATTTTCAATATATCCTTATTTCCCAATTCTCTAGTTTGTAAATCTTAATTTACTTGTACAGTGAGCTTAACAAAAATTATATTTTTGAATCAATGTAAATTACGTTTACGATTTAAAATATGATTATTATTCAATTAATGTTTAATATATATAGTAGGACATTTTGACAAATATTTATTATATTTCATAACGATATAGTAGAATAATATACAAGTTCCTTTGATTGTACTAATTTGTAATCAATTTACTAATAATAAATTATTTTAAAACTATATTTATAATTTTTAGAATTTGAAATATAAATTATTGTTTTAATCAGTATTTAAAATTCTTGAAAAACTTTATTTTATACATTAATAAAACGATGAATTAATGAATTTTTAAAATGAATGATTGTACATACAGTTAATTATCCCCAATTCCCTGAAATATAATTAAAATACAAATAATTATTGAGAATTTTTCTATAATTACAGCATGTATCCTGAAATCTTTAATTTACCGACAATTATTGCATTGTTAAGAGTGTAACCAGCGAAACACAATCAGTCCGGATGTTGTCATCTACTCGTCATAATTACCGACGGTACTGTTTATCGAGACTTACACACCTTTTGAAATTCTAACAGACTATAATTTGAATTGATTATGAAAATGCGTAAAAACGATAAAATTATTATATTTTCATTAAGGGTTTTAAAAAAGAATGTACAAAGCTAAAACTATATTTAAAAATTTAATTGACATTATGAAATGGTAAACAAAACTTCGATGTTTGCCTAATTATCAAAGATTCAAATAAGTGTAACGAATAGTTAAACACCGCTAAAATACACATTTGTATTGAAATTAAGGCATGAAATACATAAATTCAAATGGATTACAAGAATTTCGTGTTATGAGCATACAGTTTGTTATGAATTAAAAATTTTATTAATCATTTATCGATGTTCTGATTTTTCTTATTCATTTTAATTTCGTCATTTTGGCATCTTGCGAACTAGTACAGATATTTTAAAAACTGATAATTAATATAAATGTAGTGTTTCTTTACTTTTTATTTTATGTACTATAAATTTCTACAGAAAAATTGAAAAACAATTTCAAAATCTTTGTTTTTACATGTTTCTATAGAAATTATAATCTTAAAATAAAGTTCATAAATTCTGTTACAGAAAAATATTTCCGCGTATTCCAGTTTATTAAATATTCATAGTAGAATGTCTGTATAAGATTTTAAGTATTTCGATGCGACACTTACAGAATTTCATAAAAACTCGTGCATCTTTGTCATGAACGATTAATCAACAACGACATGTTGTGGATCATAATCATTATTGTATAGTAGTAATTCGTATGTATTTTTTTTTTTTTTTTTTTTCATCACTGGCATTACATTCAACGATTGTTATTTTCACTTCTTTCGACTTTACAAAAATTTATTTATATTATACGAAAGTAAGAAAATACGAAACGACGCTGAGGAATCATTATCGAGTAATTAACATAAACGAATTATTCTTTAAATTACACGATTAAAGGTTTTGAAGATGGTAGAGAACAAGGGAGATCTCTGGATGAGTATGGTGTAAAATAGGGAACGGGTAAATGGAGGGACGTTAAGTTTACAATAACTATTAATATTAAGGTAGCATTCTTACAGATGATTTTTTGTTTATATTATGAGTAGTCGTAAATAACTTTTCGTAGCTGTTTTAGCAATTTCTAAAAAATGAGTTGCATATGATTTTCCATCTTTTCATTTCTAGTCATAGGGAAATCAATGTATTGGATAGTCGCAGTCCAAAAGACTGAACGGAATTGCGTATGAGCTCTCGGTTTCTCTTAGCATAAGGATGAGTGTCAGGCTTTGTCCATGTTTTTAGTGGCACTGCTGCTTGTTAGCTTTATGCTCAACTTCAGTTGATCTTTACAGCGCGTATGGCTCCCCTAAGCAAAGAAATAATACAATAATAACTTTTTAAAAATAAACAGTTATATTTATTGTAATTAATGTCGTGCATATTTTTATTGATTATTATTATTATTACTATTATTATTATCAATTTACTTTTATAATTATAATAAATGTATCGATTACATTTTATATAGTTTTTACATATAAAAAATAGAATTCATCGTATAAATATAAATCAGTATTTTACACTTTTATGAACTTTTATATTAATATTTAATATATAAATAAAAAGAATGTCACCTCTTTTTTTTTTACAAATATACGCTTTGATTATGATACGATGATTACGATACGATTTGATAATGATCAAATGTAATTAAAGACACTTATGAAAAGATTTTTTCACATCATATTGATAAAATGTTTTAAACTGCATTTATCAGCATAAAAATTTAAGCGAATAATTAATTGTAATTTTGATATTTCAATGTAAGAGCAGCTATAATACAACATTCCTGTATTATAGGAATTATTTTATCTCGGACTTTAATAGTTCTTAAAAGAAATAAAAATTATTCTTCAAGTATATATAATTTTTATAGATACATGCAGAAATCCAGTTTGCTATATATTTGTACATATTAGTTTATAAATGTATAAATATTGCAAATTGAATTAACACATTTTACTTAAAAGTGCAATTTTAAAAACTTATATGTAATTACAATTAATTATAATAGGAAAAATAAATAATATAAAATTAAAAAAAAAATTGATAATGAATTCTAATATTAATTAATATTTTCTTTCTGAACTATTAAAAATAATGAAAATTAATTTTGCACTTGATTTTTTTTTTTTATTTCATAAGCATCTGAACAATAACAAAAACAAACATAATTTTCACACTAGAGTAGTTAATTATATAATTTAAGTAACAAAAAAATATTCGTACATATGTAAATCGTTAAATTTTATAAAATTATTGAAATTTTTTTTTTTTTTTTTTTTAAAAAATTTTTTAAATTTTTTTTTTTTTTTTTTTTTTTTTTTAATATATTCAATACTACATTTAATTGTATATTTATTTTACAATCTAATTTTTTAATTCATATAGTATTAAGTAAACATTATTTACCAGAATTAAATAAGTCTTTCCATGTAAATATTATTTCATACCCTACATACATTCTTCTTGGCTTTTTCTAACACACCTAGCTACCTTTCTTTTGAATTCTGTGTAACTTTCTCTCCATTCTTTCTGTAATTAAATGTATCAACATAAATATAAGCGTATAATTAATGATGTATATATTATTGTTTAATGAAGACTTACGGCCGCATCAACATTTGCTGGACTTTCATCATTTGGATCAGCAAGCATACTGATTACGCTAATTAGAATTGTTTCAACAGTGTGAACTGGTAGCCATCGTTCTGATGCTTTTTCGTATCCCCATTTATCATCACCTGGTTCGTGCAGGATCGATATACAAACATCCCCGTTTTTTTCAACTAAACAAAAATTGATGATTAAGGTTTGGCTTTACATTACTTTATATTATTTAATATACTAACTGTTTGGATGCCATATTTCTGTTATAAACTTCATTCTTGGTGGCCTAAGTGGATACTCCTTGGGAAATTGTAAATGTGCTTTGAAGAATCCACCTTCACTGTAAGAGAACGAAAATTTTTTAATTTTTTAATATATATATATTAATATATAAATGCCTGAGCATGTAAATGTAAATGTTTGAAATATTTTTAAAATCCAAATACTCACTACAATGTGTCTGGAGGTCCAATAATAAGCACTTCCCATCGATATATGTCATTGTCGTCAATAAGACCGGCTGAAAACCCTTCAACTGGGTTTTTATTTAACTCTATAAATATTAATTACATGTAAATCAGTCGGTTAAAATTGAAAATAATATTGGATAAAGTACTTTGTAAGTTTAAAATTCACCAAATAAAATTAAATAAATGTATTATAAATGTTTTGCAAATTATGAATAATGATATTTAAATTTAATTAATCGTTTTTGGTTCTCTATTATCTGGAAATAAACAATTATAAATATATGCAGAATATAAATCCTAAAATTTAGCAATTTTTTTTACACATTAATATCATTCAGTTAACAATATATATATATATATATATATGCCTTATAAGTACTTATAACAATATTAATTAATACAGACAATGTTCCAATAATATAATGATAAAATATATTATATAGGAAACTAGAATGCAATTATATTTTAAGATCAATGAATCACAGTACATGATTAATAATAAAATTCAAATTTATGTCATATAAAATTCATAAATTCATAATTTTTATATATAATTGTAAAGGCCAATGTTTTTAACAAATAATATTTACTACTAATTTCTCATTATTTTCAACTGATTACAATAGAAAATGCTATCCCGGTTCATTGAATATATTATTAATTTAAAAAATTAAATGTTTTTACACTAATTGATTATATAAATTATTAAGCTACTATTATATTTGAAAAGGGCTATTTATAATATTATTTCACGCCGTGAATTGTCGACGAAGTGCAATGAAATCTCAACTTTTTATTAAATTTGCTGAATATAAGCTACGAAAATTTCGAATCGCGTATTTTAAGAGTAATATGTTAGTAAATAAATTCAGACAGAGTTGCACGAGTTTAATGATATTTGATTGACTGTTTATGGGAAAGACTGCTTGTTAGTGCAATTCTCTTTCACTCTCTCACTCTC